CCCAGCTTCCCCTGGTGGCCACTCTGGCCAACACCAGGGAAACTCTATTGCCCCCCTCCCAGTACTCTGGGAAATCCAAGCCAGGACTGCTTTGCAAGCGGGGCACCCCTGAGAACTGTCTGTCCGGGGTGGGGGTCGGGTCCCTTTAAGCACAGCCCTCGGCTAGCCTGAGACAGCAGCTCCACGCTCTAAGTCCTCATCTGATGTCCTGCCGGCACTGCTTCTGGCCATCCTTAACCCCGGTTCAGGATCCACTGTGTGTGGACATGCTAGTTCGAATTAGCAAAACGCTAATTCGAACTAGTTTTTTAGTCTGGATGTGTTAGTTCGAATTAGCTTAGTTCGAATTAACTAATTCGAACTAAGTTAGTTCGAATTAGCGCTGTAGTGTAGACATATCCCAACTGATTTTTCTGTGGGTCAGTGGCCCCTGACACAAAAAAGGTTCCCCACCCCTGCCATAAATAAAGAAAACATTGAAACCTTTTGTGTTGGACATAAATTAATATTTTACTTTATTTTAAATGAAGTTTGATAAACTAACATGGGAATTTAAAATGCCTAATCTGTTTAATAATTTAAATTAAACCGTTCTCCCTGTCTGCAGCTGGTTCAGAAAATATGGTCACCATATCCAGCCTCCCCCTGTCCTCCCCTCTCCTCCACCCATCATGCAGCTAGGTGCTACAATGACGGCTATGTTCTAAAAATATATAATTAAAATATTAGGTGACTTCTGAAATACTAATCTGTATTTTTAATATTATATTTACATTTAAAATGATAGGGACTCTATGACTCTCTTAGATTTTTCTTTCCTGTGACAGGTAAACTCGTCAATATAGATACAAACTCATTACGGTCTTCCATGAGACCTGGCTTTGAAGATACAATCCGTCGGTGTATTCAGAGGTTTTTATGCCATAATGATGGACAGTCCTGGTCAAACAAACGCCACTATCAAGAAGGTAGCTCAGACTGCAGTGTTTAGTATACTATGGTCTCTCTTTTTAATTTCAGTTGTGTGTGTATATGTACATATTTTCATATTTATGAACTGAAGGATGGTAAGATCTAAGATCTCTAATAGAGCGGGTTTGGTATAGCAGCTGCTTTGCTGTTCAAGTATGTCCCTTGGTAGTTTTTATGAAATATACCAAACAGACTTTCTCATAGACTGAACTGATCTCTGTCCACAAGACAGGTACAACAGGAAAGCAGCAGATTAAGTCATGCTTCCTTAATGAGCTGCTGGCATGCCTGTACATTGACTTGTAGGGGTTCACTCCTAGCAAGGAAGGATAGCTTATCTGTTAGCTTCTGTCAGCTTCTGTGCTTATTATGAAAAGGATTCTGACCTAATTACATAAATATGTTTACCCAACTCAGCTGGAAAATTTTCAGGGACATGAGCCATTTTAAATAACTAGATATTAGAGTTGACCGAAAAATGGAATTTTCATCCTGCAGGAAATATAGAATCCTGGGAATTTTGTTTCATCCTAAAATTGTGACAGTGAAATCTTGGAATTTTTCATACATGTTCTAAGATAAACACGTTTTGGGCTAGTATATTACATTATTATTCATAATGTAATGTAAAACACAATCAAAATGAGATGTTTCAATTTTACCTTATTGAACTATTTAGATAATTTCCAGTTGAAAATATCTAGTAAATCAGTAAATTCCCATGAAACACTTGATTTTTGTCAGATCACTATTTTTCCATGAAAGTTTTATTGGAAATTTGTTTACTTCCACTGATAGGTATTATTTATTGCATCACACTTGAGCGTGATTTGAAGATTGACATGTCTAAACCTCTTTTTTGGAATCAAAGTAGGCCATTGATAAATGCATCAGCAGTTTTAGAGTTCTGACAGTTCTGTATAGTCAGCACAAAAAAACTGCAGCAAAAATTATATTCAAGGAGGTGAATGAGGAAATATCTTAACCAATTAGTGATTATTATTGAAAATTCAGAGGAGAGGAAAGATTCCAGAGGATTGGATGAGGGGAAGTATATTGCCCATCTGTTTAAAAAGGGAAATAAAGTCAATCTGGGGAATTACAGACCAGTCAGTTTAACTTTCAGTACCCAGAAAGATAATGGAACAAATAAGCAATCCAATTTGGAAACACCTAGAAGATAAATAAGGTGATAAATAAGTCAATATGGATTTGTCAAGAGCAAATAACTTCAAACCAACCTAATAGTTTTCTTTGTCAGGGTAAAATGCCGTGTGGTTAGGGGAAAGTGGTAGATGTGGTGTATCATGACTTTAGTAAGGCTTTTGATACTAACTCATGTGGCCTTCTCAAAAATAACTAGAGAAACAGTCTATATGTAGGTATTCTAAGGTGGGTTGGAAAACATTTCTAGAGAGAGGTTTTATCAGTGGTTAATAGTCAAGATGAAAGTACATGTTGAGTGTTTCCTTTGAATATCTTCATCAATGGCTTTGATAATGGCATAGAGAGTATATGTATAAAGTTTTCAGATAATACCAAATTAGGACGTGTTGGTGCTTTTTGAGTGTAGGATTGTAATTCAATATGATCTGGAAAAACTGGTTTAAAATAAATAGGATAAAATTCAGTAAAGACAAATACAAAGTACTCCATTTAGAAAGGAACAATCAACTGCACACATCAAAATGGGAAATGACTGCTTAAGAAGGAGTACTGCCAAAAGGGTCCTTAAGGTTATAGTGGATCACAAGCTAAATGAATCAGTAGTGTACCACTATTGCAAGAAAAGTGGTCATTTTGAGAGGCATCAATAGGAGCGTTGTAAGCAAAACACATGAAGTAGTTATTCTACTCAATGCTGGACTGACAAGGCCTGAACTGGAGTATTGTGTCCACTTCTGGGCACCACATTTCAGGAAAATATGGACAGATTGGCAAAAGTCTTGAGGAGAGCAACAAAAATGATTAGAGGTCTAGAAAATGTCATGTGCAAGGAAAGATTGAAAATATTGGGTTTGGTTAGTTTGGAGAAGAGAAGATTGAAGGAGGACATTTTTCATGTACAGGGCATGCCTATAAGTTGCACTGGTATACATCGGTTCCGCATTAGCATTGTTATAAGTCCTCCCATTCCCTGCTCTTGTATCATGCAACTCTCCCCCTCCCCATTTATGCAAATGGAATCAGCTATGGAAAAAAATTTCCCCGCTTTACGTTGTTTCGGTATACATCCACATTCCAAAAAACCTGGATGTATCTTGGATATACAGCAGGGATGCCCTGTACCTAAAAGGTTGTGAGGGAGGTGAAATTTTTTTCTTAATTTTGGACAATAGGACACGAAACAATGGGTTTAAATTGCAGCAAGAGAGGTTTAAGCTGGACATTAGGAGACTGTTAGGCTGTGTCTAGACTGGCAAGTTTTTCCGCAAAATCATCTGCTTTTGCGGAAAAACTTGCCAGCTGTCTACACTGGCCACTTGAATTTCCGCAAGAACACTGACGATCTCATGTAAGATAGTCAGTGTTCTTGTGGAAGTACTGTGCTGCTCCTGTTTGGGCAAAAGCCCTCTTGCGCAAATCATGGCTAAAATGGCGATCGGGGCTTTTTTTGTGCAAAAGCGCGTCTAGATTGGCATGGACGCTTTTCCGCAAAAAGTGCTTTTGCGGAAATGTGTCCGTGCCAATCTAGATGCTCTTTTCTGAAAATGCTTTTAACAGAAAACTTTTCCGTTAAAAGCATTTCCGGAAAATCATGCCAGTGTAGATGTAGCCTTACTGTCAGGCTAGTTAAGTACCAGAAGAAATTGCCTAGAGAGGTTTTGGAATCCTTGTCATTGGAGATTAGACAAACACCTGTCAGGGATGGTCATGATAATTAGGCCCTTACCAAATTCACTGCCATGAAAAACACATCATGGACTGTGAAATCTGGTCCTTCCCCCCCCCCCCCCCCCCAAATCTGGTGTTTTTGTGTGATTTTACCTATTTTTTGAGGGGAGGGGGCAGGGTGTCATAGTATTGCTGTCCTTACTTCTGCACTGCCTTTAGAGCTGAGTGACTGTTGGCCACATGCCCAGCTTGATGGCAGCACCCTGCCATGATACTTTCTGCACTACTACCTTCTGGGTGGCTGGAGAGTGGCAGCTGCTGACTGGGGGCCCACCTCTTCAGGAAGAAGCACAGAAGAGTGACAGTACAATATCATGCCATCCTTACTTCTGTGCTACTAGTGACGGCTCTGCCTTCACAGTAGGGCTCCTGGCCAACAGCCACTGTTCTTCAGCTTTCCAGCTCTGAAAGTAGCACCTCTGCCAGCAGCAGTGCAGAAGTAAGGATAGCAGAACTGCAACCCCACCTACAGTAACATGGCAGACCCTCCCTCCCCCAACTCTCTTTTGGGTTAGGTTCCCTACTAATACAATACCATAAAATTTCAGATTTAAATAGCTGAAATCATTAAATGTATTACTTTTTACATCCCATTACCATGAATAATTGACAAAGATGGACCATGTGTTTGGTAGGGCCCTGTATATTTCATTCTTAATCCTGCTTTGAGTACAGGGAACCGGATTAGATGACGTACTAAGGTCTCTTTCATTTTTACATGTAGGTGATTGTGTGTATTGATTTACTCCCCTCCTCTCCTCAGTCTCCTTTAGTCTTTGGGAACTCTAGCTGTATGTTCCAAGTCTTTGGATACCCATCCTGTATCACTTCTGTTTTATTTCTGTTTATCTAGTTTTTCAGCATATGAATCTGCTAAATATTTTGTTCAACAGTTATAGTGACACTTAGTTGGTCTTTGAAATACAAGAGGATTATCACTATGCAATTGTGTTTTCCCTCGCAGCTTATATACAAGGCCATGCTGAAACTCCACTATATCGGTTCTCCTTAGCAGATGGCACTATAGTAACAGCACAAACAAAGAGTAAACTGTTCCGAAATCCAGTAACTAATGATCGTCATGGATTTGTCTCCACCCACTTTCTTCAAAGGTGAAATTAACATTGTTCATCTGGCAGCTTGAAATATTGTAGCTTTTCAAAACACATATTTGTATTGATACAACAGCAGTGGCCAAACTTACTGATCCTGACTTGCATACTTAAACTTCAGAAGTTTGAGAGTCAGAAGACATGCATAACCTGCCCTTTGGCTTCTGTCCCAACCTCCCACCCCTGCAGTGCTGAAGATATGCTCGCCCTCCCCTACATGCAGTGCAGAAGTCACTAGTTCCACCCCACCAAGCAGAAGCCCCAAGTCTCTCAAACGCACACACACACCCTCAGTCCAGTAGGCAGAGAATGGGGAAGGACTTTACTCTTTTTTAATATTTGAATGAATGAGCAGTATGGACACTCGACTCAAGTTTACTGCAACCTTTGTTGACTTAGATTTATGCATTTCTTACAGCTTTTTGAGCAATTATTAAATAATATTTTAAATTATCTTTGTGGAACTTGATTGCTATAAAGTTTTAAATGTTTTTCTGTTGGGGGGTGGGATGGTGGTATGTTGAATTTGCAGAGAACAGAATGGATATCGACCAAATCCCAATCCAGTGGCACAAAACATCAGAGCACCTACAGCTGGAAACACAAATTCTGTTGGTGCTATTACGAATATGTCACCAAGTCAAAGCATGTCAATGCAGAACAGAAACTATGGCATGGGAGATCCCAGCGTGATGGGACAGATGAGTGGCATTAGATATGTAGGACCTGGTAATATTGGACCGATCAGCTCTGGACCAGGAATGCAGTCCTCTCCTTATCAGAACAACAGTTATGGATTAACTATGAATAGTCCACCACATGGTAGTCCAAGCTTGACCTCCAGCCAACAGAACTTAATGATTTCTCCTAGGAATCGTGGGAGTCCAAAAATGGGTTCGCACCAGTTTTCTCCAGTTGCAGGTATTTCATTCTTGTGTTAAAATCTTCTCTACAGATTGCTTTTTGCTCCTGTATCTGAATTTGCTGATCTTTTAGATATATTATGATCCTGTAACATCTGAACCAGTAGTCCCTGTAGGCTGTGCACTTGAATGGCCACCCAGGAAAAATTCAGATGCCACCCAGCTGATTAGCAGACCACCCACAGCCAGCAGCATATGTTTCTACTGGTGGTGCATATATGCCTGGGTGCTTATAACAAAATTTATTCTGCACATGGATGGAAATAATTAGAGGGAATAATGATCTAAACCACTATACCTTAAGTGTAAAATACATAAAAAACGTTATGATGAGGGTATATCTAGAGGTACGGTAATTAATGCTAAAGTATTTATTTCTGTGGTGTGTATTTCAGTTCTTAATGTGCATGCTTAAATAGACTTATTTAGTATGTAACGGTATTCTGGCAAATAAATTTAAATGTAGATGTGATAACTTCTGTAATATAACAGCTGTAAAAACTCTGACACAGGTATGCACTCCCCAATGGGATCTGCTAGCAACACTAGCAACAACAGCTTCTCTAGCAGTTCTCTTAGTGCCCTTCAAGCCATTAGTGAGGGTGTTGGAACTTCCCTTCTATCAACGCTTTCCTCACCGGGTCCAAAGTTGGATAATTCCCCAAATATGAATATAGCTCAGCAAACTAAAATGGTCAACCAGGAATCAAAGAGCCCTTCTGGCTTGTATTGTGAACAAAGTCAAGTGGAGAGTTCCATGTGCCAGTCAAATAACAGGGACCTCCTTAGTGACAAAGACAGTAAAGAAGGACACTTGGAAGGGTCTGAGAGTCAGAGGGGACCAAATGAAAGCAAAGGACATAAAAAGCTCCTTCAGTTACTCACATGCTCCTCAGATGAGAGAGGGCATTCTACGTTGTCAAACTCACCATTGGACTCTGGGTGCAAAGAATCTTCTACCAATGTTACTAGTCCCTCAGGAGTCTCCTCTTCTACATCTGGAGGGGTCTCTTCCTCATCAAATGTGCATGGGTCCCTGCTACAAGAAAAACACAGGATTTTGCATAAATTGTTGCAGAATGGTAATTCTCCAGCAGAAGTAGCGAAGATCACAGCTGAAGCTACTGGTAAAGATACCTACCATGACTCCAGCAGTACAGCCACCTGTGTAGAAGGAACTATCAAACAGGAACAACTGAGTCCTAAGAAGAAGGAAAACAATGCTTTACTCAGATACCTACTAGACAAGGATGATGTAAAAGAAATGAAACCTAAGGTAGAAGGACTGGATAATAAAATGGGACAATGCAGTAGCTCCTCTATTCCTACTTCAAGTCAAGAAAAGGAAATCAAAATAAAAACAGAACCTTCTGAAGAGGTAGTGTATTTAACCTTGTACAGAAATTTTATTAATGAACTTACCAATATTTTTCTCATTAGTTAACAGCCAAAAAGGAGAACATTTAATTTTTATATGTAAATATTTCCAAGACTCTACTGTGTAAACACAGTATAAAACATATGTTTAATTTTATAATCATTAACTAAGTACATATGACTTGAACAACAGTATGTATTGTAATAAAATCTGCTATACTGGTGTTCTTTGAATGATATTACTATTCAGCTATCAGCCAATTAAGATAAAGTGTATTATGTGCTTTATTTAATATTAAATCTTTAAAATTTGCGATTTTTACATAGCATATATTTTCATGGATAATTTGGAAATTGCCAGCTGACTCAATTAATCAGTTGAGGGTGCTACAGTAGGAAGTAAGAGGATGACTGTAAATAGAGCTTATCCATTTTCTATATGCAATTTGGTTTAAAAATGTGTTTGGGAAATTTTCCTCTGATTCTATGATAGGAACACAGATGTGGTTCCAGTGAGGTTGCCTTCGATTACATTGGTGTAAAGGCAGGAATAATGCTTGTGAATCCTATAAAGAAAGTCTATTCCTGAATATATATTACATGAGTTGTGCTTTTCAGCACTTTAGATGTTTAAACAAACTTTGGGAATTTGCGGGGGGGAGGGCAGGGGAAATGCCTTCCAAAATCAACTTGAGTTATGTATACATATAATAATAGCCAAAGCTGATACTCTAATTGTTCCATAGAGGCAGACCCCTGTGTCTGACTGAAGACCCATTTTATCTTCAAATATTGCTTCTTATCCTAATTTAAAACACTATTTGAAAATATTGAACTCTGTTGAAATAAATCTGAATCGATGCTTCCGTACTCAAAAGCAGTACAAATGTATGTAATCCTACAACTCATATGCACAGTGTGGCTTCTTATTGAAGTCAGTTTTGCTATTGAGAGGCACCGGGGTTTTGTAAAGTTCTTCCCAGAAGGACAGTGTATTTCCATATAGTATCTCGCACGTTTTGGGAACTATTTTAATATCAATAATGTTGACTTATTCATAGAGCAATTTTTCAATATCTAAACATCCTAAAAAATGTTTTACATTTCTTAGTGACAACTTACTAAAAGTAGATGTAAACTAAACACCTTATTCCCATTGGAGAATAAAGACAATTACCAATTGTTACGTAGCTTATATATACAATACTCTCTTTAAATATCTGAGAAATTTGGAAAACTTGCATGGTGAGCTTATCTTGCAAACTAATATAGATCAATTTTGTTCAAACTATATGGCTATGTCTAGACTGTGGTCTATTGCACAAGAAAATATGCAAATGAAACAAAGCAATGAATATCGCCGCCCATCATTTGCATACTTAATGAGCCTCCATTTTGCACAAGGGGCTTTTGCGCAAGAGCCTTTCTGCCTGAAAAAAAGCGGCAGAACAGCTCTTGCGCAAGAGGGTTTTTTTGCGCAAAATGGAGGCTCATTAAGTATTCAAATAAGGTGCAGCGATATTCACTGCTTCACCTCATTTGCATATTTTCTTGTGCAAGAGAGCACAGTCTAGATGTAGCCTATGTGCTTCAGAGACAAATTTTCCAAGAAAGGTAAGCATGAGGTTACCCTGGAAAATAAGTGCCTAATATGCACATATAGTTACTGTGATTGTGTCCACAAACTGTTCATTAGGTGCACTGAGTTACTGGCATGTAAATTTATAATAACTGTGACTATGAATTAATGCCCTTAGTGCTTCACTATAACATTCAAGCTTTTTATATAAATGCAGAGAAGTCTCCCAAATTTGAGATGCTAAAGATATTTGTGTTCAAGTGAATTATTTGTGTATCTACTCTATCTCTAAAGTTTTGCTTTTCCCAAACAAACAAGGAAACAGAAACAAACAAATCAAAATGCGCTAACCAAATATTGAATGCTGTCTGAAGAATTTTTTGGAAGCTGGCATTATGTTCTGAAATGTTATAATTGAATATATTGCTATGGGTTGTTAAGACTTGTGAAGGGCTAAATGGAAAGTTAAAGGATGAACAATGTGAGATTAAACAGTGTTTTGGGTTTTTTTTTCTTTCTAGATGAGTGGAGACTTGGATAATTTGGATGCAATACTGGGTGATCTGACTAGTTCTGATTTTTACCATAATTCTGTATCTACAAATGGGAGTAACCTTGGAACTAAGCACACATTATTTCAAGGAAATGCCCCCTTGGGTAAGGAAGTTCATTTAATTCCACTTTTCTCTAAGATTAGGTGCTATTGTGTGATTTGCTGTAATGTACATTTAACTCTTTTGCTTGAAGAATGTTTTCTGATTTGGTAGGAAATCCGTCTACAGGAACAAGTTATATGTACGCAGCTAATCATCCATTGATAGATTTTATTTATATAACTAGTGTGAAGGAATATTATGAAATATCAGAGGACACTGACAATCCCTTTTCAGTCAGCATCTGAATTTTTTACTAAATTTTACAAATTAATACAGAACTGTATATCTGAATTGTGAGCGCTGCCAAAGGCTTGTCCATGTGTAGTTCTCTAGCACTACAAAGAGCCTCAAGAACTTTGTGTGCCGTACAAATGTTAAGTCAACTTCTCTTTGCTTTCCATTTCATGGTCTCTCTTGCACTCATTGAATGTTGCACTCTAGAAATCCACATATCAAAGAAAGTGGGAAAATATTTTGTTACGAAAGGGGGAAATTGCAGATTAAAAGAAGGAACTAAAACCTTAACAGCTGTCTGGGGAAAGGCTAAGGGATGAATGGCAAACTTTTGATTGGCCACTGCTCTACCCAGATAGCTTCAGGCATGACCCATCTAATAAATACAGCTTTTTTATTTCTGAAGAGCTGACCATCCCTACTAGTATCTGTCTCAGTGCATAGATACTAGATAAGCACATTATGAAAGCTTGAAGCAGATATCACCTGGCAAGTAAGTTTACTCCTCTGACCAGTACATTTTTTGAGCCCTCCTGAGGAATGTCTGAGTTAACTAAATTTCATACTGGAGGTGAACCTTGTAGTTCTTTGTTTACTCTGAGGCAAGAATTTCAGTGTGTGAAACTAGTATGTATTTCAAAGGCAAACCAAAGAGAAGGGAACAGCATGGGTTTTGATAAAATACATAGGTTCCAGGTATGACACAGTAGGATGAGAATATGTTAACAAAGAGGTAATCTGACAGTGAATAAGATTGAAGAATCCAGTGGGATTCAGATGTTTAAGGAACAGTAACTTTTAAGGGTGAAGAATAGAACCCTGCTTGCAATTAACATTATGAAGAGTGGTGAGTTGTACACTTATGAAAGGACCGGTAGTTTCCAGACTCATTCTCAGGAAACTTGGTGTATATGATGAATAAAATAAGAACTGAAGACCCATACCAATGGATCAAGAGCATTAAATTGTAATACAGTATATGGCAAGTGAAAGAATCCTAGGTTGTAATTTAAAATGTTTTATCATATTACTAGAGCCCTGCAAATCTATGGATATCCACAGCTCAATTTTGAGGATACAGATGCAGATACAAATTTTGTATCTTAGAACCCTGCAAATGTGTGGATATCCATTTTATATACACGGGTATCCATGAATGTGGATGCACATATCTGTGGATCGTTTTTGCGGATGCAGATACTAATTTTTTATCTGCGCAGAGCTCTACATATTACCGAGGATCTAGAGACTTGTTTGTTTGGAAAAGAAGGTAGCTAACTATATTTTTCAGCAAGGACAAATGACTAAGTAAAAATAACCGTTCATGGCTTGTTAAATGTGTAGCATAGTAGACCATAAATAGATATAATGTCTGTAAATCATCAGTAGGATGTTTTATTTCTTGTTTAAAGGTGTATTGTTGCAAGCATCTTTTAATTCTTTAACAGGTATGAGAAGTCCCCAATCTGTGCAGACTGCCCGTCCTCCTTTCAACAGAGCCATGTCTTTAGACAGCCCTATACCTGTGGGTTCAAGCCCTCCAGTGAGGAGTAATGCATTCTCCATGTTACAAAAGCAAAACATGATGGGTGGGAGTCCAAGAATGATTGAGAACCATGAAAATTTTGGAGCACATATGGGTTTGTTGATTACATACAAACAGATTTCATTATAATTGAAAATATTTAACCTTAAAATACTGTAACATTTTAATGTGTTTGAATTAGTTAAAAACCTGAATATATAAGAATGAGGCATACTAATCTTTAATATTTACAATCTAAATCATTAAACTGAATTTGAATAGCTGTTGTTGTCCATTGCTGGGGTTATTAGGGCAAAGCTGTATCCCATCTGTGTGTTCTTCTGGGACTTTCTTAGCTGAATTATTTTTTTTTAAAAAAAAAGCTCTTTTGAAATACTGAATTGTCTTTTAATGTATGGTTGACATGACCAGTTCATATCCTTAATTTTGGCTAAATTAATGTGTTAAGAAGAAATTAAGCCTGCCATGACCCTATTTAATAGTAGTTCAGTAATCTGTTCTCTGCTCATTGACTGTCACTATAATTAGGGAGAAAATAGAAATGGTTCCAATAATAACATTAATCATATGTTCTATAGGACAAATAATCTTTTCTATGCTCTTCATTTTTCTAGGTGGACCCAACAGAAATATGGCTATGAATCAGCATCTGGCAGGAGACTGGGTTTTGCCAAACTCCAAGGTTAACAGACTGGAACCTACAAGTTCTAATTCATTGGTGAGACCAGGACCAGACTATAATCCATCCCTTCCCAGACCTGCAGTGAGTGGCTCCATGCCCGGATTGCCCATCCGGTCTAATAGCATACCTGGTACAAAACCAGTGCTACAACAGCAGATGATTAATATGAGTAAGCGCTCTACATTTGTAAAAACCTATTTAATAAAATGCATAGTTGTTTGTTTATCAGTCATTCATAATAAAGATCCTTTTAATTTCAGTACCTGGATTTGTATCCAAAGACAATACATGCCTTGAGGCAAGCTCCATATTTTCCTCTTATGTTTGCAAACTGCCAGGTACACTGTAGCAAGTACCTTAATCTTACTGATAATTAATAATTCCAGACCAAGGAATATCATATTTTTTAATTGTTAGTTTGTTTGCTTATATTTCCATTTGGAGATGTCATTTTTCTTACCATGCAAAAAAGCTACACTGTATTTATTCATAAACTATATATTCTTTCTGGAGATGGCTTCTACTGTGTTTCTGTCTGTGAAATGCCGTATTCTAGAAATCACACATCTACAGATGAAGGGACTCTATTTGGAGTCTTAGGGGGCTTTTGTGTTTGTTTTTAAACTAGATTTTCTATTTTAATCAGTAATAGTAAAAATAATCAGTATCTTAGTAAATAAATGAATAATTCACCATTTCTAACTATGTAAATATTTAGAAATTGGAATATGTGTAAATTATATGAGATTGCTTAAATAAATGTGCTTAGGTATAATGTATTGTCCTAGTTAGTAATATAAAATTTAATGTAAAAGCTAGATTTAGTTGCAAATAAACATGTTTTAATAGTTAATATCCAATGACAATTAACATTTTTTTTTGGAAAATAACTAAAAAATACAAATGCAAAACAAAATTAAAATTATTTAAAATCAGAGTGAATTGATTTAAATCACCCATAAAATAATTGATTTAAATCAAGTTACCAAAAAAGCTAAGACTGACTGTGGTTAGAGTGCATTTAATTTTGGAGTAAGCCCTATTGCACTCACAGGTAATTCTGTTTTTTGATAAAACAAGTATAAAATGAGGTTCCCTTGGAAAAGCTGAGGTTATGCTCAAATAAAATAGGGAATAGACTTATGGCATCACCATTAGGGACTGTGATCATTGTGTTCCAAAATAAAAGGCATGTATTAGGTAATATAAAATAAGAAGAATGACACTCCGTGGAAACTGGCAACTCTAGATTTCTCTTACTGCAACTTTCTACAGTAAACTTCCGATAATCCGGCACCTTTGAGACCTAGGGGGTGCCGGATTATTGGCTATGCTGGAGTACCAGAAGAGGAGCGATGAGGAGTCGGGGGAGGGGGGAATTGGCAGGGAACTGCGCAGTGTGGGCAGCACTCCAGCTGCTCTGCCCCCAGCTTCCCCAAGTCTGCCGCTGCTGGAACTGACCAGCGGTGGACTTGGGGAAGGGGAGGGCAGAGCAGCTCG